ATACTACACACACACACACACACATACACACACAGACACACACACAGACACAGACACAGACACACACACACACACACACACACACATATATATATATATTTTAGCAAACTACATGTATGCTTGAAATAGGTTTAACGTTGTTTTCCATGACTCCACTTGGTTTAACGAGTGACAATCTAAAAAGGTTGATCTTCGTTTGTGCGTTCACGTCCTATTCAATATTGACAATAATTGGCAGTATCAAATACGCTTGCATTTACGTCCCACTACTGACTGATCACTAACTAGCACACCCAGATTATACTCGAACTAATTCTTTCTAGACAGTTCTGTACTACACCACAGGAATTGATATATTCGCGTGGGTATCATATGTGCTGTTCTCGTTGCGCCATGAGCGGCATACCACCCGTCTACATACAAATCGCAGACATCTTCAACACACCCAGACCAGCAGCCAATCAATACTTTATAAACACTACTGTACCACGCGCAATCAGGCAATGTCTTGGCATGGATGTTATATAGGCACACCCCGTTGTAGCTGCATCTTGTGAGGAATATACACCACTCACCTGTTCACCAGATGGTGGACATCTCCAACACACCCAGACCAGCATCTACTCAATACGGTGTAAGCAATACTGTACTAAGCGAAACGAGCACAAGCCCATGTCTTGGGCATGGCCAGCTATAGCCGAGAGACTGAGTCACTCGACCTGAGCATGGTGGGGTAATGCCAGGAGAAGGACTCCAACGCACTCTGACTATCATTCAGTGTTGTTATGAGACTAATCTGGTGTGATGATATGGCTTTCGGCGCAGTGGTTACCACCCATTGACCGGTGCAGATCGCAATCCAATCGACTTCATCGTATGATGTATTAGACTACAAAGCAGTGTATCTGTGTATACATTATAATACAAAGCAGTATGTCTGCGTATCTAGTAGTGTATATATTATAATAGAAAGCAGTATGTCTACTGGTCAAGTAGTGTATATATGCGTGGCAAGTAGTGTATATATGTTAAGGATGTAAGCGTATAACCTGGGTGGTCCAGTGATCTCTGTACCATAGCTGGTGTTGCACCCACGTGCTGTTGCATGTACGTGGTGGTGATAGCAGGGAACGTTAACTTCACACACATCATCAGCCAATTGGCTCTGTAACCACCAGCGCATTGTATTGTTTGACAGTCGTGTTGAGTACGAAAGACGCGGTGTATGAACAAACTGTATATACAGAGATGTGCCAAAGGATCTGTGGTAAGGGTGAAGGTATCACCATCACCATCCTCTATCCAGTGACTGTAGTAACTTGACCAGGTCTTTTAAGGGTGAAGGTATCACCATCATCATCCTCTATCCAGTGATTGTAGTAACATGACCGGGTCCACCCAGGCTTGCTACCCAGTGCACGAGTGGGCCGTACACACTTCTCACGCACCCCGGTCACACTCAAGTCGGCTCTGTATGAGCACTGACTGATACGAGCCAAATAACGTAAGTAAACAACCAACGCATTCTCCTGACATATGACCTATATTAACGTATTCTCAGTCTGTTAATCTGGATGGTTTATTGTTTATTGCTGTGTTATGTAAAGTGTTCCAGGGCCAATCCATCTATCAAGGTGTTACTTTACTTCGGCATAGCCAGCTCGACTTGAGCCTGCTGTCCTGTGTACAAGTTTACGGCTGACACCTCTAACTGTCCCAGGCCAAAGCAGAACTCAACAGAGCACTCGTTCTGCTCACGACTGGCATTGGGATCACAAGCAATGCTGAAACTGTCCAGTCTGCAAGAAGGTGTGGAGTGGATGAGTCAGAGAAGTATGGGTTTGTTGGGATATTTTAAGATAATTTGTAGGAAGTAGGTAGGTACATAGAAGGGAGGGCTACAGAACTTTGGGTATGTATCCGATATGCCGTATGTCTAGAGATATACTACCAAAACCCTAAACCCAAACCCTTTGGGTAAGTATCCGATATGCTATATATTTTGAGATGTATTACTACCTGGATAGTGAAAGTGTATACTAAGTGGGGTAGATATCTGAATTGGTAGGTAGATTATTTTTTTATTTCAATCAAAGACATGTATGCTACAGCACTCGCGATGCAGGCAGCGGAATCGATAGATGAGGTTGTATGTAAGCGTATACGTATTGAATAATCACATGAGTGTCTAGCACCACCGAATGGACCCAGGCTGCAAGCGGTGAAGGGGATGTGTAAACGGTTATGAATTTGCACACTAAGTGATCCATAGAGGCGGATACTAGGTCAAGCTAACCGAAGCCTAGGCCAGACGGCCAACAGTGGAGGGGATGTATAAATTAGCACGGGTATGTATGGATGTATGGTGATATA